CATGAATCTGATTGCAAATGGTTTTAGAGAACAATCAAAACTTATGAATTACAAAAGATTCAGAATAGACATGGCTACAACTTGATGACAGTTCAGCAGCTGACAAAGAAATTCAGTTATTTTTATTGTGCACACATCATTTTAAGATAACAATTATGACTGAAATTGTCATGCCAGGACCATTGGACTTTTGTAAATTTCACAAAGTCTCTAGAATTTTTGTATCAGTAACTTATCTGGATTGGATGTAACATAAAGGAGGTTTAGCATCACTTTATGGATTGAAAGTGGATCCCAGGAAATGTGTTCATCATCTCTGCAAGATGAGAACTACAGCTTTTAAGGATTTCCAGTAGTCCAACTGGAAAACCTCAAAATTGGAAAGACTTAACTAAGAATGCTGATCCCAAGGAAGCCTGCCAAAGACATCAAAGAATTAAAACATTTGATCAAGGCCCTAAACAACTTAGTGAACCCTGTTTCAAACTAAAAAATAAAAAGGGCTGGGGATGTGGCTCAGTGGTTACTCACCCCTGAGTTCAATCCACAGTTCCAAAAAAAAAAAATCAAAATAGGACCATTGGTCTTCATGAAACAGTAGGCATTCATTAAACCAAAGTGATAGTTAAAAGATTTTAAAAGGAAGAGATATCATAAAACAGAAACCTTAACTATTCTAAGGCTCAGTTTGTTTCCATTAATAAGAAACCTAAGAAAGATATCACGAAAAAGAAAATCTGGAAAAAACATAAAGTCTGTGTTTCCTAGACCATTTACCAAAAAGTCATGAAAAACGTTTTACAGCGTGAGTACTTCTACTTATGGGAAGCTCATCCAGACAATCTGGAAGGCACATCTGGAAAATGTGTCAACAAGAACACCAGTGCCCTGATCAGGGCAGTGCCTGACTCTGGGAAATGTTAAAAGCACATCAAATGATCTGGTCACATGGACCAATTCAAAGACATTGAGAAAAGCCAAGAGTAACGAATCAAAGGCTGGGGCTGCAACTCAGTGGTAGAGCGTTTGCCTAGCCTGTGTGAGGCCCTGGGTTCAATCCTCAGCACCACACTAAATAACTAAACAAAGAGACATAAATAAAGGTATTGTATCCATCTACAACTAAAAAAAAAAAAAAGAAAAGAAGAATCATTATCAAGGCTGTCAGGCCACAATAAGCAGAGTCAGAACAGGGGAGAAAACTAAGCTGTGGTAACTGACTAAAATGTTGGGGAGTCACTGATTAAATGGGAGATGTTAAACAAGAAAAGCTGCAGTGCAGATAGTGGTTGAAAATCAAAAACAAAACTGATTTCAAAATTTTAAATCTAATCGTCTTGGAAAACATTTTTCTTTTTCTTTTTTCTTTTCTTCTTCTTTTTTTTTTTAAATTTTGAGAGGGTGGTCTTGCTATATTGCCGTGGCTGGCCTTGAACTGCTGGGCTCAGGGGATCCTCCTGCCTCAGTCTCCTGAGAAGCTGGTGTTACAGGTGCATGGCGCTGCAATGGATTACTTGCAGATTTTTACTAAGGGCCAATCAATATTCCAAGAGAACTATGTTGCTTTAAACTTAAAGAATCAGATTCTGGTTTTATCTCAGATTATTAATGGTCAAATTTTAGAAAAACACATAGGTAATTTTCTTCTAGTTATGGCCAAATTGTTCACACACAGATTTTCTTTCATAAGATTCATCCTTCACCATGCAAAATTCTTTCTCATGCAAAAAATACTTTCTAGTTTTAGCTTTCCTTACCAGATGTCCTTGTGCCCGCTTTTGGCCTTTACCTCTTTCTCCACCACTTATTGGCTCCTTTCTGCCCCGTTTTGTTTTCTTCCATAAATCTACCCTTTGAAACAATCCTTAAAACAATTTCCAAATTAGAATTATTTTTTTTCCTCAATAAAAAAGTCATTTTATCTCTTATAGTTTTTCTTATAAAAACACATTATAATTTTCTGACATACTTTATATAATAAAATATATGTATGACATATATATAACAAAAATATAAGTAATATATGTGATACATGTAAACCATATTAATGTGTGTATATAGTAGTTATAATATGTATATAATATGTATTTTATATATATATAAATATTAAATCTTGGTAACGTGAATTCCAGTAATGTTAAATTCCAGTAACGTATCCACTAACGTAAATTCCAGTGGGGAAAAACCTGGAACGTAAGCAATTTTGATCTGTTTGCTATCTTTCAACAAATTATTAACATATATATAAATTATAATATATATATATATATATATATATATATATATATATATATATTCTGTTTTTTTGGTTGTTTGGTACTGGAGATTGAACTCTTGGGTGCTTTACCACTGAGCTACATCCCCAAACATCACCCCCATCCTCTTTCTTTTTGAGATTGGGTCTTGCTAAGATGCCAAGGCTGGCCTTAAACTTGCAACCAACCTACCTCAGCCACCTGAGTTTCTGGAATTACAGGCATGGGCCACCACAGCAGGCATATGTGTACATTTTTTAATTTTACTTTTTGCTTTTTGTAGTGCTGGGGATGGAAACCAGGCTCTCACACATACTAGGTAAACTCTCTACTGCTGAGCAACACCCACAGTCTGTATCAGTACATATTTTATAATTTATATTATAACATGTGCTCTCTCATAGAAAAAAAAAAGAATGTGGATTAGAACATATTTATTAAGAGACCCAAATATATTGCCTTTCCTATAGAATTAATGAAGCCAAATATATTTGAATACATATGTATCAATTGATGTCTTAGTATTTTAACTTTGATATGATTCAGTCATTATGTAGTTTAACATAACATAAAACTTGGCATAAAAAGTTCATTCATAAACATTTGTCTCCTTTACATTGACGCAATTTATTTTAAAAATAATATCTGGACTATTTGTGAAAACAGATATTAGATAATTATAGTTTTCATTTTAAGTTATTTCTTTGTCAAGGAAATATGTGCTTGATATCTAGAAAACAGAGGATACTGCATTGCATGCTTAGGTCAAAATTAAACTTTTTTGATCTTAACCATCTAACAGAGATAAATATAGCCCTTCCTCACCAGCACACCCAGGCAAGCATGTAACTAACAGTTCTGAAGACATTTTCACTTTTAATATTTAAAACCAGTTTATTTATCAAGGATTTACTCAAGTCATGTGAATTAAAAAGCATTTTGGTTAGTTACTATAATCTGAACAGTGTCAAGTTATATGAGTGGTCCTTTACTCATAAGCCCATGCAAATAGAATTCCTATGATTTTACTATATGGATACAACATACAACTATTTTCTTTCATAAGCTTCATCCTTCAACATACAACTTGTACACACACATACCATGCATGATATCTACAAATGACAATCTTGCAGTTTAAAATGTTAGTCACCAGCTGGGCACAGTGGTGCATGCCTATAATCTCAGTGGCTCAGGAGGCGGAGACAGGAGATTGCAAGTTCAAAGCCAGCCTCAGCAAAAGGGAGTTACTAAACTACTCAGTGAGACCCTATCTCTAAATAAAATACAAAATAGGGCTGGGGATGTGGCTCGGTGGTTGAGTGCCCCTGAGTTCAATCCCCAGTACCAATAAAAATAATTAGTCACCAAACAGAAAAATAGAATAGTATAGATTCACTGGCTTATAAAAAGATGATTGAAACCAAATTATATTTTTGACAAAAGGGACAACTTAAAGTGACCTGTTAATATGGATAAACTTTTAAGATTTTCATGTGACCTGAAAGCCATGGACCATATTTTCTTTTTTTTTTTTTCCTGGCCGAGGTGGTATATGAGGCAATTTTTATGCTGGGCAGAGAGATTTTTTACTATTGCTCAAGATTTCATCTAAGGCAGAGAGGAGATTTTTTTTTTTTTAAAGCCAGAACAGTTTTATCACCCTAAGCTGTTAAAGCTAGGCAAATCTAAATTGTCATTTCCAGGAAGAATGACTCTTGTGTGTCTCCGTTGCCATGGAGCTGCTGTAAATTGCAAAACCACCATTAGAAGTTTTTCTCTTCTTCTCTATTGGTTGATGTGCGTGAAAGAAACCTTTTAGGTGGGCTGGGGGAGAGGGTGTTGGAGAAGAGGACCAGCACTGGCTGGCCAGGCTTCAGTGTGTGCATTTCATTTGTCTTTCTCTTAATGTAAAGCAGACTCCATATAGACCAAGGGAAAAAAATAGAGAAATAAAGAGCTAAACAGCCTTTACATGTTACCTCTATAATTGCAGTTGAGGAAGTAACCTTTCCCCCTGTTCTTTCCATGAAAATGGACCACAGTGTTGTCAGATGAAGTGCCTCAAAACACAGCTTCTTTATGGGCCTTAGGATTTTGCTTCTTATCAGTGTCTGGAGGGCTAAGAAAATCCCTTAAATTCTGTCAGGGAATTTTAAATGCATGGTCAGTGTGTCTTGCTTTGACTGGGTGTACACAGGATTCCATTTGTACTTGGCAGATGGCCTTTGTGCAAGGTCATGGTTCCTGCGGTCCTCTGTGAACAGTGCATGCGTGAAATCCGCTCCTTCAGAACCTTCTGCTTTGCTTCTTTAATTTGGCTAGACTTTGACAAAAGTGACCCATTTTGATTCTGACAAGTTAGACATCTTCCAACAGGCCAGGAGAAGCTGTTCTGGCCCAGGGAAGGCAAGGGGTGGTGGTAGAGATATGGATGGGGAGAGAGAGAGAGAGAGAGAGAGAGAGAGAGAGAGAGAGAGAGAGAGAGAGAAATAGATAGATGGATAGATCTGGGTTTCACTCCTAATAGGAATAGCAGCGGTAGATCGGCTGGGCCCAGTCTTTTAAAAATTGGTATCTCCCTTAATTCTCAAACCTGCCCAGGCAGGAGGGACACTGTCATCTCCATTTGGGTGGGAGAACCAAGGCTCAGGGTAGTGAAGTAGAGGAATTCACCATGTACCAGTTTGTCTGGTAGAGTGTGTTCTCACACATACACGCAGGCACACAGAGTTTGGTGACAAATTGGTTTATTCAGAAAAGACTCTCAGAAGTGTGCAGCTGGGAGCTAAGCAGGGGGCCGGAGGTGGTAGGGAAGGGCAGGAGTGGGGACTCAGCTGTGCAGGTAGTCAGGGGAAGAGGCCAGGCAGAGGTGCCCCGGGGTTTGGTCTTCTTTTCTGGGTCAGGAGAGAAGGGCTCCTAGCTTGCCTCTGGGATGGACTGGGACTGTTTTCTGGATTGCAGGGAACTTGGTGGGGGCTGGGAGAGAGGGTGTTGGAGGACCAGCACTGGCTGGCCAGGCTTCGGCCAAGAGGAGCCTCAGCAACTGGGCTTATTCCCACTGCACAGCACATTGGGATAGAACTGGTACTTCCTATTGTAGGTTTTCAGGTTTTGAGCAAAACAGTAGGCAGCAGTTTTATCACACTGACACAGCTGACTCCTACAGTAGCCCTGGTTTGCTGAAATTACAAGAAAATAAACACCGGATGGGAGTTTAATAGTCTGTGGCTTCTCCTGGGGGGAGAGGACCTCGCCCATCCTCCAGATGCTCCTTTTCCCGACATTGCTGACAGGTGGGGAGGCAGGTCCCAGGCCCATCGCAGACACAGAGCCCTGCACACCACACCAGAGGACGCAGGCCTTCCCATTGGCCACCCTCTGGCGGGCGGTACAGCCCCACCAATCATGGGGTGGATCGTGATTGGCGTAAGACAGGTCCTCCCTTTCTCCTTGACGATGATTGGTCTCTAAATAGCAGGTAACATTGATCTGGCCAATGAGCGCGAGTCTGCTGGAGGCTTCTGGGAAGCATTCATTTCCTCCCTTGGAAAAGGGAGTTGCACAGTGGGAAAGCCTGCCAGGGTGAGGCCTGGGTGCCTGGAGCTGCGGCTTGTGTCTTGACTGCACTTAGATTGTAGGACCTGCCAACTCTGAGAGCTGAAGATGGGGAAAAGCAGCCCCAGGCCTGACTGCAGTTGGGAGAATTCTTACTCTGAGAGTCAGGCAGCCCCAATATCCGAACCAGTGGTGGTTTGGGCATCTTGTGTCTGGGCCCTAAAACCTGCTAACATACACGCCCCTACGGAGAGGTCACGATTGCAAGAGACAATTTCTGATCTTATGATTCATGCTATGGGTGAGAGTTCATGCCCTCTCCCAATTACACTGGACCCACTGTCTGGGGTCACTAAGCAGTCTTTCTGGCTGCCACCCATCTCCATCCTCTCCTTCAGATTCAAGCTTTCTCCATGTATTTGCCTCCACTACCTCTCTCCACTTTGCTTCCCACCCATACCTAACCCACTCTAACCTGGTTTCGCCCTCATGCTCAAGGAGAGCACCTTCTCCTGAAGTCCTGAACAACCTTCGTGCCCCACAGTCTGGAGAAACCCTGTCCGTCTAATGTGGCCTCCTCTGTTAAACTGCTGCTGTTAATCATCTCCTCAATGGCACCTTGACCTTCTCATTCCTTTTCCCTGCTTTCTGTCTAATCCATTGGCCTCGTTCAGGGGCCTTGACTGAGCACACCCAACTTCCAATTCTCCTCTGCTAAATCTGAGTATGTCCCCAGTCCATACCCCACACTGAGCTGCAAGTGTTCACACCCAGCTGGCTGCTGGCCATTGCCCAGGGAGGGTGTCTGGAGACCCTATTCTCTGAGTATTCTAATTAGAATAGTTCCTCCTACAACCCAGCAGAACAACATCCGGGATCTTTACCTCCACGGTACCATCTGCACAAATACCCACCCAAAAGCTCATTATCCCCATATCCTCCTCAGGCATCTCCAAGCTGATTCTTCCTCAAAATCATATAGTTGCTTCTTGATTTAATTCCATGCCCCTTCCATCCTGACCACCAGGGCTTTATGCCTGGCTGTTGCTCTTTTGTCTGCAATAGCAGGCTCCCTGGGCCCCATCCATCCTGCACCCAGAGTGAGTCCTCTGAAAAGCAAATGTGCTTCTGTGCAAAGGTGCTAATTAGCTCCCTGTGACTTTAGGACAAAACTAAGGACACCCTGGCCTGAAAGGTCTGGTTGATCTAGCCCCTGCCTTGCTCACTGGGCAGCACAGAATGACCTTCAGCCCCCTGGGTTCCTTGGCTATACTCTGTGTTCTTCTGGGAATACTCCCACCCTCGTCTGACTCCTCACAGCTCAGCTGTCACTGCTTGCAGTGCCATCACTTTGTGATCTCGGCTTTCTTGCTTTCTTCTCAAGGCAGTGACCATGTCCCTCTGTGTCCCTATCTCTTGTGTCTAGCACTGTACCTGGCATGGTGGGCAGGGAACAAATGAAAGAGGGAAAGTGGACTGGGTACAGGGCTTTCTTACCTTCACAGATGACTTTGCCTGCTTGGTATTTAAACTTGTAGCTCAGAAATTTTGTGCCACATCCATGTTTCTTCAGACGCTTGTAGCAACAGTCGTGGCTGGCACAGCATCTAGTAGAGGTTGTACCATTAGGGCTGCCTTCCTACAGCTCCAGGGGCCCTGGTGCCGCATTGTCTCCCTCCCACCCTTGATCCTAGGCAGAGACTCAATGGCTATAGAATAGTCTAGAGCAGAGGGTGCGGCACGCTGATGCCCTTTCCAGCTGTGATATCCCAGGACCTTTGTGTCGATGGGGCACCAGCTCTGTCCTTCCAGCTTCAGTCCTGCTGAGGCCAGAAGTGAGCACAGGGCAGGGAGGGCTGGGGTGGCCTCACCGATCCGTTGCATCCTTGGGGGTTCCTTTGCCACCCAGGCCACAGTGGCAACCATAGGCGCCATAATTGGTTGCACCATTCTTTTTTGTCACCAATGAGATCATGGAATTGAAGTTTAAAAGATCCCCCTGAACCCACATTAGGCCTGAAAGGAAATTGATAAATAGCTGGTGATGGGGTGTGAGGCCCTGTGTCCTCCTTCTGTCTCTCTCTGCTTCTCTCCCCCGCCCCCATGGCCTCTATTCTCTTCCCACTAGGAGAGGACTGTTGCAAAAGGAAAGAAAACTTGGGGTTTGTATTCCTCCCCCCTCCCCCCCTGCGGCTCCCCCTGCACTGAGATCAATGTCAGCTCTTACCAAAGACCATAATCACTGCCAGTGCCAGGAGGGTCCTCATGCTGAAAGATCTGTGCAGGATGAGTGCAGATGGATTGGCCTGGGCTCCTCTCCTAGGTGGTCCTAGCTCCTGCCTTGGCCCCTATTCTCTTGCCCAATTCACCGTCCTAGAGGGTACAGCCATGCTCTTGCATTGCAGTAAGTCCAGGGTGAACACCTCTGTCGCACCCAGTGTACCCAAGCATGACTCCGCCTGTGTGCTCATAATACCACCTCCTCACCCTCCACAGCTCTGTGGAATGGCTTTGCACATGTGCAGGCCCTCGGACCATGGAGACCCCCTATGAGACCTGCATGAGACACCCCTGTTCCTCAACAGACTGAGAATTCCTGAGACACTGAACCAGCTTCACCCACCCATTTGGGAAATCCCTAAGGTCAGAGGTTGCGCCCCCCATTAAACATTTCACCCACATCCCCATGCTCAATTCAAGCCTCAGAAATTCCATCCAAGGTATCTGATTCCCAATAATTCTCTCCAGAACTAAAGCAACACACTGCAAACTTTTTCAATCACACACACACACACACACACACACACTTATTTGCACATGGATGCCTGTGGACATCTATCCAAGTAGTGCACACAGTCTCTTTATTTAGTCTGCTCACAAAAACCACACAACATGCTGTCCTTTACTTACTAAACTGTGCACAGGCATGCTTATGTCCACGTATGCTCACACACATGCACACATACAAACACACAACACGGCCATTCTCAAAGTAGCCAATGAGCAGGGATTCTAATTCTTTCCATGGACTATTAGTTTCTGGGTATTTACCTCTCAGAAGATACTGGACTGGATAGCTCCAAATGACTCTCTTATTTTTCCTAAATGCAGCAGCTCTTAAATAGCTGTACCCTCTGGGAAGTTGGGGGTTGGTGAGACACGGGGTGAAGGTGGGAGTGGCCAGTTGGTGGACTCCAAAATGCCCATGTGCCTGGGTAATAACCTTTATTTCCCCCTCATCAGCTGGCAAGATAGAGTTGAGGACCGGAAAATCTTTCATGTCATGAGCTGATGCCAGATTAAATTTCAAGTTATGTTGAAGCCTTTTCTGTGGCTTAGCTCCCGACTGGGTAAATTTCCATAACCAGCCATGGGTGTGACCACTAGTCACCTTCCTGCAGCCACTTTGCCCATGGATGGGCAAAGTTCATGTACTATGGCAGGCACAGTGAATAGGGCTGCTAAATGTGGCATTGGGGAGTAGAAAAAGGGCATTTAGTGCTCTCCATTCATTTCATCAATCAATCATTCATTCCCAGGAAGTACATGCTAAGCCTCTGCAAAGTTCCAGGACCAATGCAAATCACCTGAGACTTGAAGAGACTCTACCCTAGTCCTGCCCGTGGGGTCCTGGGGCAAGGGTTGCATGGGGAGGATTCTCCTCCCCACTAAGGGGAGCCAGAGCCTGCACCTGCTCTGAACCCTCCTCTTTATTCTCCTCCTTCTCTCATCCCACTTGAGTTTCCAAACCTAGGAGAAGCCAGAAGCTGTCTTGAAGTTCCCACCAAACCCCTGTCTCCACTTGTTTTGGAAATGGGTCAATTAATGCTCTCTGAGGGTATCAATCCTTTATTCTTCTGTCTTTGGAGATGCAGTGACTCTAGCTAAAATAAATATTTACCTAAAGTAAATATTGTAAGTGCCTGGTGACCACATGAAGGAGGCAGGAGATGAAAGCAGAGGCCAGCTTTCCTTTTTTCTGCAGTAAAATCCATCCATCCCGCACGGAAGGGCTCACTTTCTGGTTACGGGAAATGCCTCATTTTCTGGAGTGCAAAGGAGTCTGGGTTTTATAGTTTACAATGAGGGCGAATTAATCATTGGTGACTGCAGTTGTGCCATTTGAACAGTCAGGGACCGAGTTGTGCAGGTTAAAATGTTAACTCAGGGAAGCAGTTGTAAAATGTTTGAAACTTGTCATTGGGAAAAGCTCACAGCTGGGGGTTCACTGCTTATCTCTGGGACCCATTGTTACCTAGAACTTTCCTTCCAGGAAAGGGAGAAAGTCCAGGGCCCGGATTTTCAGTATTCGCCTCCTCCCTTGGCCATTGTGGTTGGGAAGGGTGAATGCTTTTGGTGGAGATTCTGGGGATGGACCAGGGAAGGGATGGAAGTTTGCTTTTCCCCCAGGGCCCATTATTACTGGGAAAGGAGGTACTGGGAGAGGTTTAATGTTTGGCTAAGTTCCCTCCCTCCTCCTGAGTCACACTGTCCCTTTGTTTTCCCCAGGGAGCTGTCTTGTAGGAATATTATTTTCCATAATCCTTCACATATCTTTTTTCCTGCCCTCCAATCTATGCTGAGAATTCAGCTTCCAAGGTCTTCAGTAAACATCCCCAAAAAGCCCCTGCCATCGAGGCTTGTTTGTTATGAACATTCCCCTAGTGTCCACCTTTGCCCTGAGTCTGCTCAAACATGGGCATTGGCGGGAAAGGTCATTTCCAGGCTGAGACCAGTTGAAAACCAGGAGCAACTCCTGGCCTCTCTGTTCCTCTCCTGTGGATCCTGAAGGCAGAAGCAGTCTGGATCACTGAGTCAGAGCGCGGAGGGCTGCTGTCCTGGGAAGTTCTGCGGCCTTCTGTGGGTGTGGAGTAGCTGCGTGAGGCAGAGGTCAACTCTCGCTGTATTAAGCTGCTGATAGTTGAGCCCAGCCCTTGCTGCAGCCTTGCCTGGATGATCCTGAGAGCCATTCAGACAGCTCTTCTCTTGAAAGTGGGGTCTACCTCAAGAGCCAGAGCTGTGTGCTGGGTTAGATTTTGGTCCTTCCCACGTTCTCCCACTTCCTATGTTTAGGTCATTAGAGATGCAATTAGTTCAGATGAGGTCTTTAGTATGGAACCTAATCCTAGATGACTGGTGTCTTTACAGGAGGGGACATTTGGACCCAGAGACCCATGCATGGGGAGAACGCCATCTAAATGTGAAGGCGGAGATGGGGTCGTGCTTTCAGAAGCCAAGGCTCCGAAGAACCAGCAAATGACCAGAAGGTAGGAGCCTGTCCTGGAGCAGATACCCCCACCTCAGACCTTGGAGAGAACTGTGGGGAGCCACTCTTAATGATTCCTGCCTTCCATCCTGGAGCGAGAGGCTTTGACCTGTCACTACATTTTTTTTTTTAATTTTTTTTATTGGTTGTTCAAAACATTATAAAGCTCTTGACATATCATATTTCATACATTAGATTCAAGTTGGTTATGAACTCCCAATTTTACCCCAAATACAGATTGCAGAATCACATCGGTTACACATCCACATTTTTACATAATGCCCTATTAGTAACTGTTGTATTCTGCTACCTTTCCTATCCTCTACCATCCCCCCTCCCTCCCCTCCCATCTTCTCTCTCTACCCCATCCACTGTAATTCATATCTCTCCTTGTTTATTTTCCCATTCCCCTCACAACCTCTTATATGTAATTTTGTATAACAATGAGGGTCTCCCTCCATTACCATGCAATTTCCCTTTTCTCTCCCTTTCCATCCCACCTCATGTATCTGTTTAATGTTAATCTTTTCTTCCTGCTCTTCCTCCCTGCTCTGTTCTTAGTTGCTCTCATTATATCAAAGAAGACATTTGGTATTTGTTTTTTAGGGATTGGCTAGCTTCACTAAGCATAATCTGCTCTAGTGCCATCCATTTCCCTGCAAATTCTATGATTTTGTCATTTTTTAGTGCTGTCACTACATTTTTTAGTGACCTTGACGTTGTCCCAATCCAGGAAGTTGAGGGCGTGTCTTCTTCAGGTGTAGGCGGGTCACCCCTGGGGTTGAGCTACACTCACCTGTTCCTTTGTAATCCTGCCCTTTTGCCCTGTTTGGAATAGAATGTTCCATGGAAATGCCCTTTGTGTGTCCCCTTCTCTTGCTCTGCCTTTGAGTGTGGCCTTCCTAGATGGCAGTCAACCTGCTGACAGCAGACATCAGGAAGCTAGGCTCAACCCCCAGAAACCTGACCCCTTGCCTCATTTGAATGGCTTCTCCTCAATAAAAGGGTTCAGCAATGCTCTCGTGCTCTCTCTTTCTGTGGACCCCTAAGGTAGGAGGGGCTCCTCTGATCATCACAGGACCCCAAAGTAAATGGTATCTGTCTCTTATGTGATTATTTTCTGCAGCCCAGTTCCCCTGGAGTGACCCTGAGTATTTTAGTTGTGAGGAATGTGGCAGAGAACCAGATGTGGGATCTTTGTCCTTTGCCTTCAGGTCTGTGAGGCCATAATCTTCTGCTATTTCAGCCACTCACTTGGGGGAGCTTTGATCCTAGGACAACGCCATAGCAAACTACATAGCCCCCAAACTCTGTGAGACCTGTGCTCCCTCCAGTGCTGTTCCGTTCAGGCAGTGGCTGGTTTTAAGCCTCCATCAGGGTTCAGAGGTCCTGTGCCCTGGGGTGCATCATCACCTGGCATTCAGCATCTCAGCTTTGGAGCACTCATAACTGCAATAGGCAGACCATCTCCTCCTCCTTTGATGAGTCCCTGATATTGGGTCCAGGCATTGGATGTGCTCCGACACTCAAGGACTTTTTAATATCACACAGTGCCTCTCCACATCCCATCTTTTCAGCAATGTTTTTGGGAACTCAAAGTCTATGATTTGACCCTTCATTCTTTCTCCTTCATTCAGGGTCTAATCAAAGCCCTGTACATCAATGGACAACAAAACTCCATACTCTCATGGGGCTTACACATTAGTGAAGAGGAAACTCTGTGAGGTGGATGAAAACCTGAATGTTCTCTGATGAACAAGTTTGCAAAACTTCTCAACAATGACTAGCAAATAAAATCCAACAGAAGATCAAAAAGGTGATACCCTATGATGAAGTATGATTACAACAGGGAGGCAAAGATGGTTTAGCATTTGCCAATCAATAAATGTAATGTCACATGAACAGAATGAAAAACCAGAAACACAGGATCATTTCAATAGATGCACAAAAAGCATTTGATAATTTCATGATAAAACCTCTCAACAAATTGTATATAGAAGGTACACACCTCAAAATACTAAAGACTCAGGCTGGGATTGTGGCTCAGCGGTGGAGCGCTCACCTTGCACGGGCGGGACCCGGGTTCCATCCTCAGCACCACATTAAAAAAAATAATAATAAAGGCATTGTGTTGTGTCCATCTATACCTAAAAAATAAATATTAAAAAAATACTAAAGTCTCTAAATAAAAAGCCCAAATGTGGAAAAGCTGAAAGTGTTTCCTTTAAGATCTGAAACAAGACAAGGATGTCCAGGAGACCCAGGATTGGCCAGGAGATTCGCTGATTGACAGGCGGTTCCATTGGTGCCTGATTGATGCTTCTTTCGGGTGCGCCGGCTGCTTGGTGCTTTGTTCCTAAGTCACCGCCATCAACCTGACACCAGGGATTTAACTCAGGGGCACTGGACCACTGAGCCACATCCCCAGCCCTATTTTGTATGTTATTTAGAGACAGGGTCTCACTGTTGCTGAGGCTGGCTTTATACCATCCTCCTGCCTCAGCCTCCTGAGCCACTGGGATTACAGATTACAGGCATGTGCCACTGCGCCTGGCTAGGATGTCCACTCCTGCCACTCTTATTTAATATGGTATTGTAAGTCTTAGCAAGAGCAATTAGGCAAGGGAAAGAAATAAAGAGCATCCAAATTAGAAAGGAAGAAGTCAAATTATCCATGTTCACAGATATTATGGTTTAGGTATGTGGTGTTCCCCAAAAGCTCATGTGTGAGACCATGCAAGAGGGTTTAGAGGTGAAGTGATTGAGTTAACTGGGTGGTAACTGTAGGCAGGTAAGCTGTGGCTGGCGGAGGTGAGTCACTGGGGATGTGCCTTTGGGGTATATATTTTGTCCGTGGTG